TGTTCCGAGGCTAGTGGCCAGTGTCCTTAGAGTAGAGGAGATAGTTTATGGGTCTTAGCCCCACACCAGGCTGGCTAAGTGTTCCGAGGCTAGTGGCCGGTGTCCTTAGAGTAGAGGAGATAGTTTATGGGTCTTAGCCCCACACACCAGGCTTATCGTGATTATTGTTACTATATTATAGATAAACATTATTTATCCCTTTCAAAACTTCAATTTTATTCTTCAACAACATAATTATGACCTAAAGGTTGAAACAAGCCGTTGATGAATAAAAATGAACTAATTATGTATTTTAATCCCCCTCATAAATCTTACAAAAGGTTTACAGCAGTCAAAGCTCCATTTTCAATAATAATAATGAAAGAAACTCTACGGATAAGCCTTTGTCGGAAACCAATTAAAGTGTATTAAGGCTTGAGTATAACAGAAAGGCTTGTAATTATAGTAATAACTGTGCCATTAGGGTTGTAAAAGACGATAGACGACATCTTTGAAGATTCCCTTGTCATTAGACTGTTGTTAACACTCTGCACCCTAAACAGTAAAATTTTGTTGAATTGTGGTTAAATATGAAATCATTTGTATTATTTTAATATGTTCTACTAATTAGAATGGTTAATTGTTGTTGTATTACGGTACATTCTTCAATTTTCTATACATATTATAAAATACAGTAATTAGATTTATTTGTATGTTTTCATATTTTACTTGGTATTTTCTCTCAAATCGTTTATCATAGGTAATTTAATATAAGTAGTTATAGGACGTTTTTATCCGTTAAAGCCCGTTTTATTTAAAATGTTGAGAAATAATCTTGATTTTAAAATTTGTTTTTAATAATTTTATTTACCCTACTGAGCCTTAACCGTATTTGGCAATAACCTGAACCTGAACCCGTATCTTGAATGTTGAGTCAATGGTACTATATAAATGTAATATTGATTTCAAGAATGGTTATGCTGCAAAACTATCAGCAATAACGTAGTAAAAATTGTAGTATAAAAGATTGAAGTGGTCAGCACAAGTTTTCATAAGCCGGAAGTAAGTAACTGCCTGTTTTAAGAGATGAACACTTTTCTATGATACTAGTTTTTGGACACATAGAATAGGCTATTTAAGCAACTATCCATTTCGATGTTTAGGTTTTGTCACCTTCTTTTACATATAAATACACCGACTGGGGTCGACACCAATTTATGGCGATGGTTTTATTTAAATAAGAGCAATCTTAATCAACAATTCTGAATTGGGGAAAACTGGCGAGAGTGTAGATGCAGCTTTTGTTAAACCTTCTTGAAGCATTTCCATTTTTACTTCGTAGATATTTTAACATAAGTGTACTTGGTGATCGAACGTGGGGAAAACTAACTATAAGTAGCCTAGGCCTACAGAATTTAGTTCAAACAGTCTGTTCAAAGGTATCCCTACAGATGTTCTTTAACGATTTCTATGTAATGGGATAAAATAATATCCTGTAATTGGGTGATTCGTATGTATCTGCTGTATCTTGTAATGTATGTATCTGCTGTATCCTCTAATGTATGTATCTGCTGTATCCTGTAATGTATGTATCTACTGTATCCTCTAATGTATGTATCTGCTGTATCCTGTAATGTATGTATATACTGTATCCTGTAATGTATGTATCTGTTGCATCCTGTAATGTATGTATCTGATGTATCCTGCAATGTTTGTATCTGCTGAATCCTGTAATGTATGTATCTGATGTATCCTGTAATGTATGTATCTGCTGTATCCTGTAATGTATGTATCTACTGTATCCTCTAATGTATGTATCTGCTGTATCCTGTAATGTATGTATCTGCTGTATCCTCTAATGTATGTATCTGCTGTATCCTGTAATGTATGTATCTGCTGTATCCTGTAATGTATGTATCTGTTGCATCCTGTAATGTATGTATCTGATGTATCCTGCAATGTTTGTATCTGCTGAATCCTGTAATGTATGTATCTGATGTATCCTGCAATGTATGTATCTGCTGAATCCTGTAATGTATGTATCTACTGTATCCTCTAATGTATGTATCTGCTGTATCCTGTAATGTATGTATCTACTGTATCCTCTAATGTATGTATCTGCTGTATCCTGTAATGTATGTATCTGCTGTATCCTGTAATGTATGTATCTACTGTATCCTCTAATGTATGTATCTGCTGTGACCTGTAGTGTATGTATCTGCTGTATCCTGTAATGTATGTATCTGATGTATCCTGCAATGTATGTATCTGCTGTATCCTGTAATGTATGTATCTGCTGCGATGATTATTTTGTTTATATTTTGTTTCTTATGCTTTATAGCGCAACACCAGACTAGATTATCTAGACTTAACAAAACTGGTAACAGCTAATAAAACGAATTAATTTTAAATTGCTACTAGTTTTCCAACATTGGTGGTAAAGTCCCCAGACTCTCAATAGGGACGATGGATAATCAAGGCCTGCTTGTCATGTTAAACTCTAATCACTATGTAACCCCTTGTATTGCCTGCTAATTATGTTTTAATCCATCCCTAATTCTACATATTCAACATTAATCATCCTAAACTTGGTCTTGCCGTTTTATTCATACTTTGTGGTACTTGATATTATTGAAGATATAACTGTAATATTTTAATTGGAAACTAAATGCAACAAGATTAAGACTACAAAACATACATCAACTAGCTAATAATTGTTTTCAATTATGTTTTTTGTAATAATACATTAGTATAAAGTATGTTATGTGAAACATTACATTCTGCAATATATTTTACATTAGGACACGCGGTAGAATTGTATTTATATTGTTTATACTTTACACGTTTGTCTACATAATGCATAGTGAGAAATATATTTATTTTTTACCAAATCTGCGCAGATTTACCTAGAAACATATTACCACATGTATATCTTTCAATATTTTGTTTAAAGGATTATTGCGAACATTTTCCATCACGATGGAAAAACACAATACACAACGTTTCAGGATCTGGAATTTGATCCCGTCCTCAGGTGGAAAAACTTAACTAACACATAACAACTAACAATACACAAAAAGCCCAACTTAAATTTGAATACACTACATAGAGTAGCAGTAAAAAAATATGCACTGTACAGCAGTCAAGTCATGATACAATAACATGCAAATAATAACCAATCACAAAACACTACAGTCCATAAAAGGTGTAGGGTAAATGTTGTGTATTGTTTTTTCATTTTTTATTTTTTTTTACCATCGTGATGGAAAATGTCTGCAATAAACCTTTAAACATTAATAAATCATCGGGTCTGTTGAAAGCGTGAGGGTGGAAGATCCGCCATAAGAGGTTGTGTGGGTTTAGCTTTCGTATTGTAGCAAGTGATACATCGAAATAAGCGTTTTCTTATACGATTTCATGCACCAATAATCCAGAAGCGTCTTTGAATTAATGCTTGTACTAGTTTTGGACCACCATGTAGAGAATACAAGTGATAGTAATCACATAAGGGTTTTGCTAAATGACACTGAGAGGGTATCAATACAGGGTGTTTTGATGATTCAGGCAAGTGCAACTATTAAATATCTTGTATTTAATAGTTATTTATCCACGGTTAGACTGATGGCTAGGTTTTTTTTGTTTTTTTTTGGGGGGGGGGTTACGTTTGTTTAAGTGAATTTCCCGACTATGGAATAACTTTTTCGTTTTGAGGCCCCCAGAGGCCAAAAACACAATCCTTTTAAATTCATATATACGGTATACAGTATGTCCGTTAGCGCGATAACTCATTAAAAATTAAACGATTTTGATTAAATGTTTGTTCAAACGTATACCTTTAACCTACGTTTATTTAAACGAGTTAGCGAACCAGCATGATCGGGCTATGGGAACGGGGGTTTATGTGGATTTTTATGTGGTAAAAATTAGTTTTTACAGCCTAAATCATTTTCTAGAACTTCCTAGACTTTTAAATATTAAATAATGTATATATTAGCGAATTTCTCATAATTATAGGGAATAAGCTATTACCGTTGTACTCATGGAAAGACCTGGACCCGGGACCGAATTACTATTTTCGTTTTGAGATCCCTAGAGTACAAAAACACCATTCGTTCAAATTCACATATAAATGTATATGTCCGTTAGCACGATAACTCGAATACTACCCGGCAAAAACTATCCGATTTTGATAAAATTTGATACAAATAAGTCAAAAAGTGTAAATCTACATTTATTCGAAGGAGTTCGCGAACCAGCATGATCCGACTATGGGAACGGGGGTTGATGAGGGATTTTATGGGGTAAAAATTGGGTTTTCCCATTTTTTATCCTAAAAACATAAAACTTTCAATTTATTTAGAGCCGTTTTTGTAGAGCTCAAAAAATAAACAATTTAGTATGTTGAAGAGTTTTTTTTTTTTTTATCCTAATAGTTACGGAGAAAATTCCAAAACATGTTTAATTAAAATTCGCATGTTATTCTTATGGAGGATAAGTAAACTGTTTGCTTGTTTATGCACATTTTTATCCAATTTGGAAAATGCATTTATTTCATACTAAACTATTAACATTTTACAAAAAACACATTTCTTACCCTCCCTGTTACAGCAAACCTAATTAATCGTTAAACTAATGCTATTGAAATAGGGAATAATGTGATATTTTTAAGGAGATATTTTAGTGTAAATCTAATCAGGCTAATGGAAATTCGCTCCGTCTTCAGGTTTGCTGCGCGGGGGTATTTTTCTCTTGTGGCTATCCTCATCTGCATATTTTATTTCCTCTGTATTTATTGTTTTTTCGCATGTATTCATTATTGACAAATGTAAACCAACATGAAACATTTATACTTTTCCACATACAATAACTGTGTTGTTTCACTGGAAATAAACATTCGCAGTCTGTTCTTCTGAATCTCTGAATCACTCATTCGGTTGCTTTTATCGGTAAATCGCAAACTGGTTAAGTGTTGTGAGTGGTTCAGGGTTCTTCTGTTCAGTATCAGTCTCAGTCTGTGTCTGCCTCAGTTCAGTATCAGTAGTGAACCAGTCAAGTGGCAGATCCAGTCTCGCTTCTCAGTTTACTGTGTCAACAACTTCATATCATCCGACCCTCTGAAGCGAGTAAGTTAGTTGTGTATTTATTGTAATGTTGGCTTATTTTTTGTAGCTATTTGAGGATGAGAATATTTGTTTTTCTGTTAGGCAAATACATCGCAATTGGCATCCACTAATAAGCTAAAAACAAAACAAAGTAAGGGAAATTCACATACACATGGAAAGGATCATTTAATCTATAAATTTTAAATTAGATGAGAGTTTTTAATTACAGCTTACACTTTGGAAAGAACACTCATTGCTTAATTGGTTTATTGGTAACAAAATCCAATTGAATTATAGGCGTTGGTTATAGGAACATTTCTTTTAGAACAAAGTTACAGTTGCAGATTTCCTGCAGTATTCGTTGACACTGGCCACTGTGCTACTGCTATGTGCTAGACAACAGACAAGTGATGCAATAGGATCTTGATTCCAGTTCAAGGCTGAACTCTAAACAGCTGATTTGATAAGAGGAGAGAAACTTGGAGAGAGAGAGAGAGAGAGAGAGAGAGAGAGTGAGTGAGAGGGAGAGGGGGGTTTATACTATAACCCAGCATCAACAATCATGTGTTAGTGGCAGTCCTATTATTTAACATTTACTAGAATTTTTGAATTTGGCTATTTGTTATTCGGCCTAGACCTTTAATGATCACTTTATCAAAGTGTGGAAGCTGAAAAATATAGATGGAAGCTTTAGAGTATTATTGTATAGTGTTTAAAGTTTTCAAAAGGAATATTATAACCATTAATTAATTGTTATGTTGGGTACTTTCATGCTACTATAAGCATGTATGACTCGACTTGAAAATAACAGTGATACTCTAATAATATGTCTTACAAATTATAGTTGTCAGATATATATATACAGTACACTTCTGATAGGGCGAAGGGATTTTAAAAATCATGTTCATTAAGAATTGTGTTTATTGTTACCGTAATCTTAATACATCACCAGCTGATTGATTTCTATAGTTATTATCTGCTGAAAGCCCTAATTTTGGACCATGTTGTAATTGCCATTGACCTAAAGGTCAACTTTAGATAATAAAAATATCAGTGTCCATACAATTACCAGTACATTGCAAATTGTCAAAAAAATCCTATGTATGTTGGCACATAAATAATGCCATGTGGTGATGTGTTCCTCAAAGAAAGAAGAAGCCTACAGTCTGCAGTGGTAGCACCAAAGTCTCCCCATTCTGAATAGCTGCTGAAGTTCGATTCTGTATCTCTGATCTCCCAGAAGAGTTCCCAACATTTCAGTATAAAGTCCCGACAGAATGTTATCACGTATCTCAGATTTGTATTGCTTATAATAAATGTTATGATTTTCGTCCAGGGGGGTTTCATAATAAAGTCAGCAATCACATAAGACCAAAAGGTCTATGTGCTCACTGAATGAACTACAAAATAATATTATTAATAAATTAGCTGACCGCCCAATGAAAATCTAATGGAAATTAACATTATCATGGAACAGGCCCCAGGAAGTAATTAAATATTAATGTCTGAAACAAGAGATGTTTTATCAGATGGTGATGTTAAGAGATGTTTTACAAAAATGGTGTCTGTGTAAAGATTTGTGTTTCAGCCATTTTCCCAATGGTAAGAAGGTGATGGTGAGACAGGTGAGACCTAGACCCTAGGTAATTTACTTTTATTTTGATGTTTCAGGGGCCAAAAACACTCAAATCTTCATTTATTTGTGTGTATATAAGTTTGTGTCCTTGAACCAACAATTGTGTGTGGTCATTCATTTAGGGATCACAGTGTTTTGGCAATTAGTCTTTTGATGGCTAGAATTCACATGTGCTTGTATGATGTCATCTCATTCTCAACTTTTTATTTTTATAATTAACCTAATGTTGCCATTTCTTGTACTTTATATTATTCCGAATAATATAAACTACAAGAAATGGCAACATGAGGTTAATTAAAAAATTATTCCTGTACATAGTAATTACTACGTATATCCATCTGGCTATTTCCTTTCACATGTTTCTGTATTTATGTTTATATTATATTTTGTTTACCTTTATGTACAATTTGTTGATATTTACTCATGCTAATTTTATGTTTTGTACGTTTGTATTTGCACATAATTATCAAAATCGCTGTAAGGTCGTTATACTCTTGAAATACACCTTTAGTTTTTCTATATTTAAATGAATAGTAATCATTTTTAATCTCTTGAATACTATGATAATACCAAAATGTGATCAACTTAGTGTTTAAAGTAGACTACTCTGTAAGGTTATTCTGATTGTGTCAAGTAAGCATGTTTCTGTTAGATAAGCTATCTAAAGATTTGTTTTGTGCCAGATTTACACTATCTAGCATTCTTTTCTAAAAGAGTGGTATTCTTAAATGTTTTAATTAGTTAATTTTCAGTTGAATTAATACTGTAGTATGCTCATGAGCAATACTGTCTTTTTTATGGACCCCGAAAAATGTAGCAGCAATAACAATTGAACTTTAACAAAATAAAGAAATATTATTTATTATAAAGAAGCATTTCACAAGGTATATAGCCATCATAAAAAAATATCTGAACAATATTCTTAACACATTGCAAATTCGAAAATAAATCAAACCTATGAAGAATTGTATATACAAAATCAAAAGAAACGCCTTATCCATGTATGTCACTGAACAACTTAATTCATATCCTGGTTTAATTGTTTATTTATATTCTCTACATCTATATATATATTAATTATTGAATCATTACTTATGTGATCATGGCCTGTTTAATGATGAGTGCTAAAACTAGCTGTCATACCCGGGAAGAGAATGCTAAAGACATAATTATGTTATGTTATATAGATATTTCCACAATTTTATAAAGCACCAACAAAGACATTTCAAAAACACCTGGTTTAAATCAATTTGGCAATCCTAATATAAAGTGTATTCATAAGAATAATATAGAAAATTTGGAAGCGGGGCAGAGCCCTGGGAGAGTATTAAAATAAAAATATGATTATGCTTTTTAGGCTTGTGATATATTGGCTCTATTCGTGGATAAAATCAGCTCAATTAGTTTAGTAGTTTTCACTGATTGACCATGTTACATACTCCAAATCTTCACATCTATAATATTAGTTCCTTCCATATATATGATTTTGGAGTAAAACAAACATACAAACACAATACAATACATTGTTATAAAAACATTGCAATTGAAAGTTATTAAGTTAAAAAATTATGCACTTAAAAAATAAATTTGCCCTATCCATACACACATAAACATAACTGACTCTTTAAGCAATCCTACTTTGACAGTTCTCATCATGTGACAGCTTTTTGTTACTGTTCAGTTCAAAACACCTGTCATCGTAAATTCTAACAAAATAAAATTATAGTCCTGCACTCTGTTGTTAAACCCCGGTGTGTTCTTATTGAAAAATTTATAGCTTAGTAAGAGGTTAACATATTCTTCCAAATTCCATTAAACTATGTCCATAGACAAGCAAGCTACAACAGTTTATTTATTTTCCATAAGAAACATGGCCATTTTAAATTTTAAAATGAAATGAATGAAATGAAAAATTCTTTATTTTACCAGGCAAAGTTAGGGCCACATGGCCCTCTCTTACACTTAACCTGACAAACTTAAATATAAATAAATAAAAATACAATGACATTTCTTAATCTAATATAAAAATACATATTTAACACATCAAGTACAAGTTAAACGAAAATTCAATATACACATTTTTACATTTACACATTTACACATTTTTGGAATTCTTTCTGTAACCCTTATGTATAAAACAAACACTTCAATATACAAAATTATTTCTTTTTAAAAGCTCTACAACATGTTTTGGAGAGAAATTATGAAATGTTGTGTTTTTAGGGTCAAAAATGGGGAAATCAATTTGATTCCATAAATCCCCCCATAAACCACCGTTCCCATAGTCTGATTATGCTGGTTCGGGAACTCGTTCGAATAATTCAATTCAAAATTTAAATTCTTTTATTCAGCTAAAAATTAACAAAGTAATTGCATTAGCTAAGTCAGAAAAAAAGTACAACTCATCTTAGGCTACACTTACATAATATATATACAAATAAGCTTATCATCTAATTTAAAGAGCAAATTGAGCTTATTATTCTCTATTACAGGATGAAAAAAACTCCTTGAGGCTGTAACATGAGAAATTAATGAGATCATCTTTCAAACCTTTTCTAAATATTGAATGGTTTGATTCCAACTTCAGGGACCGGAAAAGGTTATTGGATAGTTTAATAGTTGGTTGAAGTTTTATGATTGGTTTTTTCAGTTTTTGGAGAAACACAGCTTCAAAAGAATAAAGAATCTTAGTCATGAAAATATCAAACTTAGTATCCAAGTCTAAGGCAACATAAACGTCAATCCGGTTTTCTTTCGATATAAAACTTTTAAATAATTGTATATAACTATATGAAAATGTCCTTAAATGATCAAACTGGTCTTTAGGAGATGGTTGGGTCAGGTTGTAATATAAAGTTGCTGTCTGTGCATGGTGATCAGATAAACAAGGGGTTATGACTGAACAATCAACATTAGTCTCATTAGTAAATACATGATCAAAGAGTATGTGTGCCATTTACTTCTCTGGTATATCCCTTAAGAATATTTTTTAGTCCAAAAGAAGCCATCATTGTGACTAGTTTTTGGGTTATAAAGGAGTCACAAAATAGGTCAATATTAATGTCACCCATAACTACAATTATTTTGGGTTGCTTTTGATTTGTATTTAGACATTCGGTGATCATGTCAAGAAACGCGTCATGTAGGTTAGAGAGAGGTCTATAAGCTGCCAGTAATAACATTTTGGTATCAGTACAGTAGACTCCCTCTTACCCGTACTCCTCGGGACCGAGGCCAGTCCGGATAACGGTTTTCTGGTTAAACCGACGTCCCCAAAATCTCGTTAAAACAGACCGTTTGGATGCATACTGTATACATATTCGACTAAAATTTAGGAGAGCATTGTATTCACACATGTGATCACTGGCTTCAAATCTTTCCCACGAGAACAGTCGTTTCAGTACCGCCCACTTCCCTCCGATCTAGTCTGGTTAAACCGATGCGCTGATAAAAATTGTCCGGTTAAAAAGATGTCATTTCCGCCGAGTGAAGTCCGGTCAAACCAATGTCCGGTTAAAAGGTGTCCGGATAAGAGAGAGTCTACTGTATCAATTGCCACGGACACTGCAGCAAGCTCACTAACACTCTCTTGAACAAAATCAGTGCAATCCAAAAGCTTCACAAGTCAAGCCTGGTCTACACCAGATTCCTACATATGTTAGTTCTGCAGTATGATGCAACACAGCTGAAACCATTTAGTCTAGAGAGAAAGATTTCCACCGTCTACAAAATGGTTTGGAAAGAAATTGCAAAATATTATGTTTTGAGGTGAAAAATGGGGAAATCCCCATTTTTACCCCATAATCCCCCATTCCCATAGTCCGATCATGCTGGATCGCAAACTTGTTCGAATAAATGTAGGTTTGCACGTTTATAGCAAATTTCATCAAAATTGGATGATTTTTGCTCGAGTTATCGTGCTAACGGACACAAATATATATTTATGAATTCAAACGGATGGTGTTTTTTGTCACTGGGGTCCTTAAAACGAAAAAGTCAATGGCTCCCGGGTCCAGGTCTTACCATGAGACCTACGGTAATAGCTTGTTCTATACCGTATATGGGAAACTCGCTAATATATGAATTTGAACGGATATGGTGTGTTTTTTAGTCTCTGGAGACATCAAAACAAAAAAATTAATCAGTCCTGGTCTAGGTCTTACCATATAAGACCCAAATTCGCTAATGCTAGTATTCCCTATTAAAGAAATATGGTATAAAAATTAAAAATATTACATAATTAATACAAAATATGAATTAATGGCTTACTGAGATTGTTTTGTCATTGCAGGTGAGAGATGGAGGTTGAACCCCCTGATGTGTGTACTGAGTATTTCAGGGAAATTGTATTAAGTGAAATCCCTAAAGTGCTTGAAACACTCAATAGAGATTGGCCAAAGCACTTTGTGGTAAGTGATACTTTAGCTATTTTCATTTTGCCATTTTCACACAAAAGTATAAGAAATTATGAAAGAACAGTTTTATCTGTGGTCTATTTGTCCGATAATGATTTTCCAAAATAATGTTTTCAACACCTCCATTGTGTTCCCAGAGGTTTTTCTCTTCATAATAAACTTTCCAACTATCACTAGTGGTTGTATCATCTATTACAGATACTGTTAATAAGAAATAATAAATAGAGTTAACACGTTTGCTACCGAGCGTCGCATATATGCGACGCCGCGATCATTGCCACGGACTGAGGTTTACAATTTAATCTTACAAATAGACTGGCTGTCACTTGGTTAACAGTACAGTAGAACCTCTTTTATCCGAACTAATTTGGACCGGGGGTAGTTCGGACTATTGAATAGTTCGGATTACAGAACATATTGTTGTCTTTACATAACAATAGCTAGAACAAGGCTACAATGGATCGTAACTGCTACGGGAAAAGTAAAAAAGTATATAAAGTAAAATACAGTTTTTATTTAATACAGTAGTAAACATAGTGAATAAACAGTAATGTACATTAAATACAGTATACAATATAGAACTACTGTACTGCGTATAAAGTACAGCAATGAGGTGTTCGGATTAGTGGATGTTCGGATCACGGGGTTTCGGATTAAAGAGGTTCTACTGTACCTACACGCAGACCACGGGCGATAACCTGTTAAGCAGTGGTAATTTACTTTGTAATACTCTGCAATCCTGTTTGTAAATAATATATTATTGTACAACCCCTCACACGACAAGGGAATATAGTGGTAAGACAATATTTTGAGGAAAAAGCTTTAGTTGATCATGTTTTTTATTATTTCCTTCTGTGAACAAGCTTGTCTTGTGTAGTTTTGCTAAACTGTCTTTGCAACAAACATTCCACAGTGAAAGGTTTTACTTCCCGGATTGATTCAACAAGTCTTGTTTAAAATTGGCACGAATTAGTGATTTGTCAATGAATGGACTATAGGTAAGGAGAACTAGGAATACCGGTACCCTATTCTTTTAAAATAAAAATCCACCTGAACTAGGCCTGGGCCTTGAAAGTTATTTTTGTTTTGGAATAATATTGTGAGTGTGCATATTTGTCAGACTCTATGAACAAGGGTGTGCACATCTATTCTGTGATTAAATAAAAAATTCCACATAAAATATACAGCTTCCTAGAGTTACAGCACATACTATGTTGGTCTGGTCACGTAAGTTGTTTTGCAAGGACCTAGTCTTAAATAAATTGGTAATAATTTGACCTCTTAAGAATTGATTCAATTTTACCACCCATGGTTTATTTTTGTTCCAGCTTCATCAACTTCTTCGGGTTTTTATGGAATACCAGAAAAAGAAAACCAAGTTCAAGAACTCCTTATACCTCTATGGAACCTTGCATGATGGAGTGTTCTTGAATATCACAAAAATGGAGGTAAGACTTTATAACGTAGTAACTTATGTAGTTACTTGTAGTTAGGTAAGAAACTTGATTTGGATCTAAATTTTATTTCACAGAGTATAATGGAAAAGAGTCAATCATGTGGAAATGGTATTTATATAATATAAATAAATATATAAATATTATATAATATATAATATATAATATAAATTTTCAAGAACTTCCATTTAAGTAGTCTAAGACTGAGTTGAATGAATGTAGCTATCTATTGTGAATATATTGCTTGTTAAAGTACCAGGCTCTGTCGCTGTGGTTGGTATTTACGATAAGTCTATCAATCAAAGTTGAATGACAAAAAACACTGCACCAGCTGATCGATTGAGCAGTGTTGATTAAAATGTAGTATGTTATAGCCTTTTCAATTCTAAACAAACCAGTTTAACTCCCATTGCTTAAACATTGCATTTAAAAATGTATTCTATCACAATTTATTTGATTCTCTCATAAAAAAACTTAAAATAACGGAAACATTTGATTTTCAAAAAACCGTTTGACAGATTTTGATTAAGATTTAGCATGTACTGTTATGTGAAGTATGTTCAAACAAAATAAGATAATGCTCATTGCTGTAAAAATTATGACTTTAAAGTTATTGTTACCTTTGTGATTTTCCCTATAAAATATCATAGTTACTCCCACCTCTTAACCATAATAAGGGTTGTTGACAAGCTAATGGGAGAAAGTGTTTGTCAGATTGCTAATTACGTTAACTTGATTTGTGAAAAGCTAAGAACTTACCAATGCATTATCATAAAGGTTGTAATCAAAATAAATGTAAGAAAATATTTCAAAATCAACAAAAATATTTTAAAATAGGAGGAAATTTACAAATGTGTTCCCTATATTAAAATATTTATTTAAAGGGAGTTATTTTTAACTATTTTTTAAATTTATTTCAACTTTAAAATAACATTGAGTATTCCAAGAAATATATTAGATATTTTCGTATATTACAAAATAAATTTTCATATTAAATCAAACACTTTATTTGCGAACACTTTTGTATGGAACCTTTAATTTTAACGCCAGCACTTCTTTATTTTCTCAACGATGGGTAATGTGTTTAATGGGAAGTTAAATGTAAGTTGTGTTAGTTTATATGTTTGTCGGGAGGTTTAATTGATAGCAGTATAATATAATGACCATCTCTTGCGGTCTTGTATAGAATATCATCGCCTTCCACAATCACAGCAAAATAGGACTGAATATTTACCGAGGTCGCAGACATTATCATCGTCCCTTGGGATTGTAGCTGAAGTGTGAATTTTACATTGAAAACAGCTGTTCCTATTGCAGTATGAAACACCCAACTATTCATCTCAGAGATGGTAAATGGAATACAATACTGTACTAACTATTTTGAAACTTGTCGGCAGCTTGGGGATAAGGAAGCAATAAAGATTTATGTTGATGCAACCGCAAGAGATACAAGCATGGTGACAAAGGCTCTGTCAGAAACTGATATTATTCCATGGGAGAAGACTTTTACCTTCACCCATATACACTCAGACTACTCCACCATCATTCAGGGTGTGTTGGCGTCTCACAAAGCTAACAGCTTCGATGTATCTCCCAACAACATGTTCTGGTTTCCATCTGGAAAAACAATCAGAATGTCGTGAGTACATAGGGTGGTTAGTCAACTAATATTTAGTTCTCTATTAGCGATCTTTTGATGGCTCCCTGATTTGTTATCATTGTGCAGATATTATTATTATGGGCACAACAATAAGAAGCAAACTCTCTAATACTGAAATAGAATAGAAGAGGACTTTTCACAATCACTTAGAAATAGAGATTCAGTTGTAATCATGTTGCTTTTTAACTCTGACAGTGGTTCCCAAAAATTCTTAGAGCAATCGGCCCAGCAAAATCTGGAATGCCTAGACTACACTAGGTGCGATGTTCTATTGAGTTGTAAGTGTAAGTTCCAATATGTCACTCTTGTGTCCACTGCAGCCTGTGGAGCTGTAATGTTATAAAACTGTTGAGAATGAGAGAGCCAAAAGCCAGGGCAATATTGGATTGATAAAACTCAACTCAGATTTCTCACTATGCACTTAGCCTTTTAATTCCTTTTTTCATGTTAAATTTCAGGTATATTTTCCATCCACAGCCTACTAATCTTGCACAGCACTACTTCAGTATTTCAATCAACTTAGAGAAAACAATAATAATAATAATTGTCAATTCACTTTTTGATTTCAGAGAGTTGCCCCAAGACACAATTTGTGATTTCCTGGATGGATCTCATGCTGATGAAATGAATAAAAACTGGCCACATCGAAGTCCACGATCTGAGTTGGTTCTCAAAGAGAATATAGAAAAAAACTTTGGATTGGGTATGCCTCAAAATTCTGAAATGTTCTTGTATTTTGTAATACTATCCTAACTAGGTAATAATTAAATGGTTGAATAATAAATTCAGTTAAGGAGAAGCTATCCTAATCATGTAGGTATAACAATCTGTGTTACACATTTAATTTATTACATTGTTAGGCCTACAAAGTTTATTTCTTCAGGCTCTAGTTTTACGGTACTTCAGGCTAGAAGGGGTTCTGGATGTTGCGGCATTATCACTTAGATAAAATCCATTGGTGATTGGTGAGATTTGAACCCAGGATCTCAGGACCCGAAGTCCCGCATTTTATTACATTGTAATTTAAGGGGGCAATTAATTTATGAGGGGCACAAAAACCGGAGTTTTAAAAAAATAAGCAAATAAATTACAAATTATTTACAAATTGACTGTATCACCTTCAAAGTAGGCTACTCTCCATTAGACCACTTATATATTCCACTTATCTCTGCCAATTGATCAATTGTCTGTAAACATTCTTCAAGCACCAGATCCCAATTTTTTTCCACATTTATGTCCTTTCTGGCAGTTGATGGACGTCCAGGACGAGGTTTGTCTTCGATGGAAATGTCACATTTTTTTAACAAGTAAATCACTCATACACTTAAGTTTTTCCCCATAGCTTAATATTTTAAAGCTGTTGAACATTAAACGCTTTAACATTATTTTTACCAATTATAAAACAAAACTTAACAGTTAAAAAGTTACACATTGTTCACTTTCACTTGCCATCGCAAAAAAAAACACTATAATAATGGTGCCAATAAAAACTGTCAGATCAGACAAACACAACCAGCCAGCTTGACGGCAGCAGGGGTGGCAGCGAGTTGCTATATACACTTATGGGCCGAAACGCCAATTTAAGCTCTGCCCATCCATGGCAACATTATTCCAGTAATTTTCCTCGTACATCTTTTTGTTTATTGTTATTTATTTTTACAGTTCATCATTTTTGTTACTACTATTAAACTTTGACAGTGATATTTTTTATCATTTTATTATTTATGACACACAAAGAAAACATAGATTATATTTTGACACACAAAGAAAACATAGATTATAATACCCTCAATGCAGCAAACCTGCAGACTAAGCGAATTTCCATTTGCCTGATTGGATTTACACTAAAATGTCTACTTAAAAATATCACATTTATTCCCTATTTAAATATAATTAGTTTAACGAGTACTTTGGTTTGCTGCCACAGGAAGGGTAAAAGTGTTTTTTTTTTTTTTTGTAAAATGTTTATAGTTAAGTAAGAAATAAATGCATATTTCAAATTTGGCCAATATGTTCATAATCAAGCAAACTACAACAGTTTACTTATTCTCCATTAGAATAAAATGGAAATTTTAAATTTAAATTTTTTTAAATTTTATCTGTAACCATTAGGCGCAAATAACGCTTCAATATACTAAGTTATTTGTTTTTTAAATCTCTACAAAATGCATTTGGAAAGAAATTGGTAAATTTTATGTTTTTTTGGGTCAAGTTCCAAATAGTCTGATCATGCTGGTTCGCGAACTTGTTCGAATAAATGTAGGCTTACACGTTTATACAAAATTACATCAAAATCGGATCATTTTTGTTTGAGTTAACGGGCACATATATAAATATATGGTATATGATTTTGAACGGATGGTGTTTTTGGCCCCTAGGGTCCTCAAAAGGATAAAATAAATCGGTCCCGGGTCCAGGTCTTACCATGAGTACTACAGTAATAGCATATTCCCTATATGGGAAATTCGTTAAAAACCAAATGGTTGGACACTGCAAAAGTGTTAATAATTTAGAACAGAAACTCTGATATGGGAAGGGAAAATACTCCTTAACCGAAAATTTTGGAACCCCTGAAGATCTTACCTGGATCCAAGGCCAAAGACAAGGCTGAAGAATTGGACCAAGCCCAAACTTACCCCCCCCCCCTCACACACCCACAATAGGCCAAATACACCTACAAAACAGTGTTCTTGGTCATTAAGAGTTGTTGTTATACACTTCCTCACTTTCAGGCTACTCACACAAACATTTCCAAACACTTCCTCTTAACAGCATTTGTCCCCTACTATTACACTAACGTAGGAGTGTAAAAAACTATTTACGTGTTTCCTTTAGCACCCAACCTAAGTAGGTAATGTTATTTAAGTTTAAATAAATCTGACATGTTTTTAATATTTTATTGAAAATCCAATCAGAAAATGCAAATTAGCTTAGTTTGCTGGTTTGCTGAATATTGTGTGCTCTGTGGTTTGCTGTGGCAGGATTTTTTGTACGATTCTAGATTTACTATTGTAGTTTAGAAATATTATTTTTATATGAGACAATGCATCAGTTTGAAATGTTTTGTCCACAACAGCTTCCCTGAACCGCTGAATCTTTTACACAGTATTATATACTATGGTAATATATAAATTATACTGTACACTTTATAGCTGCTGGGAGAGGATTGTGCTCCTCTTGTCTGTCTCCATCAGCTCTTCCGCGTGGTCATCTATTGTAATGTAAGGTTATACAATGGGACACATATTCTAGGATAAATGTTGTACCGGTACTATTTTTTGTTCTTATTTTCAGGAATATTCCGTATCTCTGATCGCCTACTGATATCTTCAGCTCTGTGCAACTACGCGGGAGGGATCTTTGTGTTATACACAAATCCTGAATTCCGAGGCAGGTCGTATGCTTCAAAGCTGGTACAACGAATGGTCCTGGAGATCCGGAAACGAGGATGGATTCCTTTCTGCACAGTCATCCTCGGTAACAAGAGATCCGAGGCTGTCTTTCGCAATGTTGGTTTCGAAAAGTTTTCCTTCGCTGACTACCTCATCGCTCGATAATCTCCAAATCGTCATGACAACATTAGAACTATTACAGAGCAGTTTTTGTGTAGGTTAAGAAAGTTTTGAGTAACAAAACTTCAGTTTTTTATGTAAAACACACTACTCCAAATATTTATTATTCGTGTTTAGTATGTGTTTTGTTTAGTATGTTCCTAGTTCCTATTTATTTTATGCACCTTGAATTTTGTAATGTTAATAAATCTGTTATAAGGTCAACAGATGGAAATTAACTCTTGTAGTTTTGTCATCCATGTAAAAAGCAATGGAATAATCTTAGTCACTGACTAAAAAACAAATAACTAATTTTTTAATCATAAACAGTGTTTTTACTTCATTACTTCCAGTTTCACAGTTACACAGACTCAAGATATGTTTTTATTGTTCACTTTTTATTTTTTTCAAGGTAGTTTCACTTGACCAAATTAAGTTACATTCGACCTTTATTGTTATACTTTAATGACCAAACAAATTATATCCGCGCAAGCAGTGTAGGAGTTAATGTGTGGTTAATTACCTGTAACTTAAGTTTAGGTCACAATAATGGTTTTAAATTTTTGCAAAGTCCTATTGATTATGGGAGAATGAATTGTCACTCATTGAAAAAATTGGCAGATTTAGTTTGAAGTCAAGTTAATTTCACAAGTAGTTGTTGAATTCAAGACAAGATCTGCTGTTGTTGTATCCATTAGGACAAGACTCACTTGGGAGGATCGAGTTTTGGCGTGTCGGTACCTCAGTGAGTAGTGTGACGTACTTCACACTTTAAACTTGCAGATTAAATAGCCCTTATTTTAAAAGTTCTGTTCTATCTTTGTCCCCCTTTTTTTGTCTTAGGACGCTAGCCACGAGCCTGGAATTGTTTTTCACATTACTTCAGGCTAGTAGGGGTTTCAGCATTATCACTTAGATCAAATTCATTGGTGATTTGGCGGGATTTGAACCCGGGACTTCTTGGACCAAAGTTTTGCGCTCTAACCACTAGACCGCGCTCCCCGGATTTTTGTCCCCTTAGAATATTAGCTATGCAAATTATCTTGAAACATATTTTTCTGTGCAGGGAACATTTTTGAATATCATTATACAATGGCATAATTTTAACTTTCACGATAAAGACAGTCAGACAGTAAACTATTGTAAAGTAGCATCAATGTGTGGGAGGTGTCGGAAGAGTGATTTGGCTAAACAAGAGTATGTTTGCCGAGCGAGAGTCATTTGGCCGAGCAAGAGTGTGTCGGCCAAGCATAAGAGTGTTTTTTGTCGTTTTGGTAGTTTTCCGTGTTATGGTAGTTTTCCACGGAAAGAACGTCATTTTTTAAATCTGCGTTGAATTTTGAGTAGAATGAAAAAGAAAATTTCAAAAATCGCGTGCAAACCCTAAAATGCATATTTACCACTCTATTAACCTTATACTTAAGAATTGGGATCGTTCAAGTTTGACACAATCATTCCTCAATGGTCTATTTTTTTGTACGTTGTGAAAAGTAGGGAAGTGGTAGGGTGGGCGTACCCAGAGAGGGGCAGGGGGCAGCTGCCCCCCCCCCCCCCTAGAAGCCAGGTTAAGGTATAAGAAATTGAGATCCAAGAAAAATGTTATTAGTACAAGAAAAGATGAGTAAAATGGTTTACAGTTTTTCATGATATTTTTTTGTACATGTTATCAGTTTTTCATTAATTTCCGAGTTATTTCTAAAATAAAATTAAAATTCCAACAGTACTAATAAACAGACCAATTTCTTGCAATATGTATAAACTATCAACAATGTTGTGTAGTATAATGAATTATAAACCTATTTTTTGTGACATTATTTTGTTTTCATTTGCTTTCAACAATATAATGTAATGAACAAAATTGCTCTACGGCATAAGTTATCAGGCATTCTTCAAAATAGTTTACCATTCATTTAAGGTGTTATAAATGGATGTGAAAATTTGGAATGGACACAAAAAATACAGTTAAATGTGTATTGTACAGCTAAACAACCTGACCTGGCCCCATTGACCATTATAAACTAAGCCACTTTATAACCTACCTAAGACATTATAAACACTGGATTATTGAGCTAGGTTTTATATATTAATGTCTCCAAATAGCGTAAAAAACGCTAATTGCAGTATATTGTTTTTAAAATTTTCCCCGAATCCCCCTCCAAGCTGGGGGGTATTCTATTTCCCAGGGCCTCCGGTGGTCCACCCGGCCCTAGCGACCCCTGTTTCAAGTACGCTCTTCCCCCCCCCCTTGTTTTGATCCTGGGTACGCCCTTGGGAAGAGGTTTCAGGCATATGCACCAATTGCTGCAGTGTCCAATGCTGGGGTTCGGTCGCATTCTTCTTCTTTAATTCTTCCGCATTTAATGTCTTATTTCATTTTTGTTGCCTAGATGATTGAAAACTTGAAAGCATTGACTATTGGATAAAGGAGAGTATCAATAGTTATAGCTTAAAAAAGGTAGTTGAGTACCCTTTTAATTTATCTGAGTTAAACGTCAGGAATTTGTAAATACCAGTAATGTAATTCAATGATTAACGTAGTGAATTTTAAAACTTTCAATATTTAAATAGTATTCATATTTTCTTCATAATTAGAGGACTACACTTTATAGTGTGAGTGTCCACCTCTGTTGGGTATTCAAATGAGATCCCTCGGGATAACTTACAGTGGTCAAGGAGAAATCCAGGTAACAATGAAAAAAATCTCAAGATTCAGATGGGATCTAGGATTTGATGATCTTGAGGGTTAAATTAATAAATCAGCTTGAATTAAACATATATTTTCGCGGTTGTGAATTTAATCAGAACACATGAAATTATAAAAACCTAGAATGTACGGCCCGGACTTTTACCCCCGGAATTTTACCCCCCGGATTTTTACCCCTGGATTATTACCCCCGGATTTTTACCCCCGGATTTTTACCCCCGGATTTTTACCCCCGGATTTTTACCCCCGGAATTTTACCCCCCCGGATTTTTGCCCCCGGAATTTTACCCCCTGGCCAGATATATATATAATTAGTGAGAATGATTAATTATCTTCATTCAGTTTTAATTTAATAGTAAACATTTTATTGTTAAGTAGCCTATCTAAATTTATTTGTAACATTAACTAATCGAACAGGTTTTTAATTTTAATTTTGAGATTCGAGTATCAGGATTCGATCTTTGAAGCGAACTTTGGTTAGTATGATCAAAATAAAACAGCGAATTCTGTTTACTTAGTTGAGATGACAAAATAAATAAATAAACAAATATAGGCTACTAAATAATGAAATGTTTACAATTAATTAAAAACAGAAATAAGAAAATCAATCATTCAATTTTTTAAATCGGCCAGGGAGTAAAATTCCGGGGGGTAAAAATCTGGGGGCAAAATTCCGGGAGTAAAAATCCGGCCCGTACATCTCCAGCTGTCTAAACGCTAGTTATGGAAAGGGGGTAAAATTCCGGTTTTTATAGCTAATCTAATTAATCACGCTCTGACTATTTTCATTAGACTTCCAAATCCGCGGGGGTAAAATTCCGGCGACCCAACTACGCCACAGTGCCTGTAAATCGGATTATGAAGGCATACATACCTACTGTACTTGCAATTCAGTAAAACTTAAAGGTGTTAATGTTAAATGCTCTACCTGTTAGCATTCGTAACATATGTCCGAAATTGAAGTTCAGGAAATGTGTTAATAGAATTACATTGGCTAATTGGCTTACAAAAAAATTCTGTTCTACAGTTTTGACCATGAAGCTTGATCAAATCGTGTAATGTATTAACCCAATGAATAAGTTAAGGTGAATTAATGAATGAGTTTATTGTTTTTAACATGGAAACCCCCGTCAAAGTAATTTAAAATAAAATAATGTATATTAGCTTATATCACAGTGCAATTTACAAATTAAATTACCAGAACGGCAGCTAAATGTATCCAAACATAACCTGGTACCTAAATTGCGTACATAGTACAAAGTCAAAAATACCTTTGCTCAAAGTCCTTGGGCTAACTTTTGCTACCAAACGTAAGCTCTCTTCTGTTATGAGAAAATTCTTAAATTTTGGTGTATGTGTGAAAAGAACCTCGATCCCCACAGGACAAGTCCATAAGCTTAATGATACGTACACCACTCCAAAATAAACTTCCCTTAAAGTTTCACAGTCCAAATAGTTTGAAAGCCTTCTTAGCAGAGAAATACAACTCAAGACCTTAGCACCAACATTATATCAATATGTGTGTCTATCCTATTTAAAACCAAAAAAATATTCCAAGAAATTTACAAAACCCATTACTAAGGTATCCATAGAGTCACATCTTCACATGCAATGCTATATTGCTAAAAGCTTTAGTTACTCACTGTGACCAAAATTGAGAAATATTTACAAGAGCAGGTTTACTTTGAGACCTGCGCCCCCAACCCAACCTGTGGCGTCCAAGTTTGCTGAACAAAAACTACTTATCACAAAGGTGCATCTACGCAAGATTACTTAGTCTAAAAAAGTTTCAGTGAATTGTATAGAATCCAGGCACACATTTTTAGAGTTAGATATACATGTTTATATATTATTCTACTTTAAGGCTGATCGTAAGCTATGGTTAACTTTGAATTTCCTGGATTTATAGAGTCCGCCCCTAATACAGAGCATACAGTTGATATAGGGAATAGCTGAGCGAATAGCAAAATAGATGTTTTGTGAAGTTTATCTGAATTTGTATAAAACAATCCTAGGCATGGTAGCACCGCCATACAGGATCTGAAATACTGTACTGTATTCAATTATGAAACATACAAAAGGCTTATACTTAGGCTACTGTAAGTATTTTTATTGAAAAAATAAAAATTCATTTCAACCAATGAAACACAATTAACTTTACGATAAACTACCAAAGTTACATTTTTTACATGACTTTTTTGTTACTGTATGATAACACATTTTTAGAAGAATAAATTTAAGAAGTCTTTTTTTTTAAAAGATGGGGGAAATTTTAATAGGTATTTTAATGTATTATACATACTGATTTATTTTAAAAGTTAAACAAATAAACTAAATATTCATAGAACTTATATCCTCACCACATAATAGAAGGCTCACAACGGCACGGATTTTCCTCATCTCTACCTTCTCCTACTGTATTTTTAAATATAAGCATAGACTAAACAACACAAGTAGACTTCTCATCCCATTGTAAATTTTGAAGCTCGTTTTTCATGTCAAGTTCATGTACGCCACACTGGGCGCTAGTGTCGACGAAATTTTGTCTCTATTATTTTAGGGTTAATTTCTTGATTTGTGCTTTACTGTTTGGTTAAATAACTAGGGGACAATTTATTGTTTATGATTAGATCGTATTATTTGGTTAAACGAGGTTTTAAATGACTGTATTAACGGGAAACAAATTGCAAACAAAACACGACCTCTACATAAACCGTACAGAACTAACAATAAAATTGTCTTCAGCTGTTCCATTAGGATGAGAAATCTACTAAGGGAGTATGTTTTTATCTATGATATAAGACACGAGGCTCATAGGCACTATGATCTGTAGAGTAAGTGAACCTTCAATATTATTTACGAGGCTCGTATAGACTATGATCTGTAGAGTAAGTAAGCTATGTGTTTTAAGAATTGTATATTATAGTCAATGGAATTACATATTTGGAGGCTCATAGTGTCTATAATTTGTAGTGTAAGTGAGCTGTCCCCCTTCGTACTTCGTATATAAGCTCAATGGGCTTGGGTATCGACGAAAAAAAATTAACACATCACATCGGCTGTTTGTTTGTTGCTTTTAGTTTTGAGCTTAGAGCTTAGCTTTGACTTAGTGTCAACTGTCAACCATATGAAGCAACTGCCAAGTACCAATTTTATTCCTTAACACAACACTAAGTCTTCAGGCCTTGTTCGTGATAATTTGATTTTGATTATTTGGATTGGATTAATGCTATTGCAAGTGTTTGATAGGTTAAGGAACCAAAAGTTAAATTTCAACACTGCTTTACCGTTTTGAGTTGTTAGGTCGACACAATAATTAGTAGGTTACTGCTCATGTCCCATTCAAAATCTCTGTGTTCTACATATTTTAAAGAGGAATTAATTAGTGTTAATGGAAAGTCCTCAGTTAGGTCTACCTGGTAAGGAAGTCCACTTATGTATACACATATTTTTAATGCTTAAAATGTAATGAGTAATTAGTCAAGCAAGATCACTTCTGGTCAAGTTAGACACATCTAGGCTAGACCCAGCAAATACTAGCTTAATTGTTTACAGCTTGGAATGGAAATCTAAGTAGTCTTTAAGGTTACAATTCGAATTCGGCATTATCGGATGAAACATTAGTGAAATAACTTATAACTGACATAGGCTATGACATAAAATAAGGTTACTAACCTGTCGTCAATCAGTTCTACATTTGTCGTAACTTAAATGACTATAGATTCTGGGTTAAAATCCCATTTTCAAATCTTTCTCGGGCGCACAGTTTCTTTACTGGGCTACGCTAATATTGATTGAAACTATTGAATTGAAAATATTGATTAATAATCGATATTTTAAAATATATCTATTATAAAACTAAGCTATCATAACCTAACCTAACCAACCAAACTTGCTGATGGTGAAAAAATCGCATGAAGGTTTACTAATCGAATCGATCGTTTCAATCAATATTAACGTAGCCCAGTTAAGAAACCAGTGGCGGTTCCAAGGGGGGGGGGCTACAGGGGCTAAAGCCCCCCCTTGGACTCTGGAAAAATAAATTTAAACGTACATTTCGACCTTAAAATACGTAATCTCATAAAACAGACATCAATGTAGTTTTCATTAAACAAGCGATGGCAGGAGTAGTATTAAGTCCCACATAGATAAACTTTGTGGACACTAGCACAACGAATAAAACAATATTACGCTATGGAAAGTTGTACGCATTATCAAATTTTACAGCAGTCAGCTGCAGGTCAGCTGTTGACATGCTAGGGCAAAGGCAAGCGCCGAGCGTACGAGCGAGGACGGGGAAACAGCTGATTTCCTGATGTTCCATAGTTAGTTGTCAAATTGTCTGCTAGCCACTAACTTTACACAGGCATCAATCAGCAATCAGCGGTAGCTCCAGTAGCCTATTACCATTGACTATATAAACACTAGTGTTAAAGTTTATATAGTCAATGCTATTACTGAATTCGATACTATACATATTGTGACAGATCTATGAAATGGAGAAAAACGTAAAGTTAAAAAACGTGTCTACTTGCTTGCATGACATATAACAGGTGAAATGGGAGGTTTTAGGACAATTGGGAACAGTTCTAGCCGTTAGAAATGGCTTTATAAAGTCACCAAACAGCTTTTAGGAGATGGATTCGTAGTCTACAGTAGGCTTATGTTTTGAAATTCATGAATGCAAGTTCGTCATAGTTTGAGTTTAAAATGTCTACAACTTGCTCATGACAAAGACAAATAACAGGCGAAATGAGAGGTTTTTGGACAGTTATAGACATTAATAATGGCTTTAGAAAGTCAGTAAACTGCTTTTTTAGGAGGATATTGCCATAGCCTACAATATGTTTGAGATTTATGAATGCAATTGTCATAGTTAGTTTTAAAAATGTCTACTTATTCATGACAAATAAATGGGGAAATGTGAGGTTTTGCACACAGTTCTAGTCGTTAAAACTGGCCGTAGAAAGTCACCCAAGGCTTTTAGGAGGATACAGTGTGTTTTGAAATTCATTAATGCAATCGTCATAGTTTAATTTTTAAAATATCTATTTGCTCATGACAAACAACAGGTGAAATGGGAGTTTATGGACCATTGGGCACGGTTTTAGGTGTTAAAAATGGCCTTAGAAAGTCACCAAACGGCTTTGAAAATTTCAAATTTTCCCGACCCCCGGACCCCCCTGCTTTATTGGGGGGTACTCCCCCCAAGCCCCCCCCTTGACATGGTCCTAGAACCGCCACTGTAAGAAACTGTAAGTAGGCCTACCCTCTTTCTCTTCAGTCGTCAATTGTCAAACACATATTCGTGCATTTGCCATTGTCAAAAATACTTCATACTTAACCCATTGGGGAAGGAATTAATGCGCTACCTGCAGCACCCTCTGGCGGCAATTAATTTTACCGAATTTGTAGACTTTTACTCCAACTGCTATAGAAAGAAAACCTTAGGTAATAAATTAATAATTCTTTCACCATTTTGTTCACAGTAAAATTGTCTACAGAAAAGTGGTAACTGGATAGTCAATGTTCTAAAAAAAAATATATATATATATATATATTAGGCCTAAAGATTATAAAATTAAAAATTTTAAAAACAATATTTTGAAAGTAAACTTGATATACAAATTCCAAGATTAATCCAGACACCAAATAACACTACTATTATAAAGTTCAATCGATTCCCTACGTAGAAAAATCAAAAGTTGTGTAACTTACTTTTATAAGTAATAAAATGTTTAAAAAATTGTTTGTTTACCTTACCGCAGCTGATTTTTGGTGATATGTGGTTTCCATGGCAACACAAAATTGTTTATTATTCACTAAAATAAATGAGTAAATACTCAAATCAAGAAGCAATATATTTATAAACATTATAATAGTAAGAAGAAACAAAAAGGGCGAAAAATTATAATAACTAAATAACAAATGGCGCTGCCTAGCGGTGACATGAGCGGCACTCGTAAGTCGGCCGCCGGGGCTGCAGCGGCCGTACGAGTAACGCTCGTAAGTCGGCGCCAATGGGTTAAACATTTGGTAATTATTTGATATAGCCTATCTACAATGCGATATCTTGTAATTTTTAGATGTCTACTTACAGTATTTTTCACGGTGAATCCAAAAATGCAATTAGATTTAGTCGGAGAGATTCCTAAGTGGGCGTACAGTTTAATAATTAATATTAAGCTTCAGTTTTATTAACTTATTCACCTAAATGTGGTTTGGACGAGTCCAAGTTCTAGTGGCGACTAACACTGAAAGGGGTGGAATAAAAAACGTGAAATTAACAACCAACAATAAATACAAAACAAAAACAATAATGAATAACAGTGAATAAAAATATTAAACAGCAATAAACAGCATAAACAGATAATAAGCAGCAAGAAATTTAAAGTAACAATAGCAAAAACAGGACACTTGTTTAATTTTGTATGTTTTTTGGCCCATTAGTGGCACCAGCAAGGTAAATTAACTTTCACATAATCTGGTTCAGCACAGAGCCGACCCGACTTCTGAAGGAGGCAGTTGAACCAGAGAAGAAGTCGATGTGCGTAGCAATTTGACTCTCTAGTCGATGTAATCTGGACAGGCCGCTGAGGTAGGCGAAAAGTGTCGGCTGGGAGCGACGCTGGAAGGAGGTTCTGGAATGTGCCCCTCTAAGTACAGCAAGGTCAATATTCGACAATAGATCAGGGCAGTCGATAAGGGAGTTGATGAGATTGAATAGGAAGACTGCATCAAAGATCATACGTCTAATGTGTAGTGGTTGAATCTCTAGCTGTGCCTTAAGCTCCCGGATTGGTGTGTCCCAATATCTGAAGCCAAGCCTGGGTCCAAGCATCCTTATGAAGCGATCTTGTGTTCTTGAGAGCATTTGGATGTGTCCAACCTGATACAGAGACCATATTACAGATCCATATTCTAAGATGGGGCGAACCAGGGATTTGTATAGGATCACTTGTGTATATGACGACCTGAAGTTTCTTGTGGATCTGTATATATAAAACCCGAGAGCCCTGGCCGTTAAATGAGCTATATGCTGGAATGGGCTGAGATTTGGTGTCATGATAATGCCCAAATCTTTCACTTTGTCAAAGATTTGGGCATTATCATGACACCAAATCTCATAATGGTAGCATACACATATACCTCACATTGACATACACTACTCGGTATATAGGCCTACCAATAAAAAGAGGACAAAAAGTAAATTAATATTTATATCGAGAATGAAATATTTTAAACGATACCTAAATAGGTAAAAATAGGTCAAATATCAAATTAAAATTTCATCCGATTGTATATCTCTGCGGAACTGTACCCGTCTTAAGTTTCCATAGGTTTAGGCCTACTTAGGTATTATACTCTTTAATGAAACGGTTAGTCAGGAGCTCCATCGTTCCGTTTTGATGGTTATTGGCTAACAGAGAAAACTGTCAACGTAGAAAAGGTCCAATTATCAAGTCATACCTATGCATAAGTCTGTTTTTGCTCTTGCAATAGCTGTGAGAAAGCTTTCAAACCACTTTTGAAAACCTCTGACAAAACAATGGTTTTGACATATTTTTTGTCCCAGTGGGTGGTGATCTCTGTTTGGAAGTTGACCAAAATTCTACAGTAGATGTGGTAGAATCAGGGAACGACGCAGAAATCAGCTCGTCCAATAGCAGCCCTAATCAACATCAAGTGAAATACTATGAGTGAGTAGAAAATCATTGAGTTCAGTGAGATTGTGTCACTATAGTGCAAGGCTTCCATAGTTTTTTTTTCACTACTGATGTACTCAACTAGTTATAGTCCAGTCATATTAGGGTTTTAGGTGGAAATAATTCTCTAAGTGGTGAAACTTTGCACATGTGTAGTACCCAGTAACAACATATCAAAAATCAACATTCGTGCATGCTTTGCTACGTTCGCCATCTTGGAAAATGGCGGCCAATTTTCAACTTTTTTCCCATATATTTTACTAAGTTAACCGTTGGAAGTACAGAAATCTCGTTCGGACAAAAGTTAAAGAACACACAAAAATACATATTTTACTCATTTACATGGGTCGCCGGAAGACTGCCCCCTCAGAAAACTACCACCCCAAACAGGTTCCTACGCCATATTGACGTCAGAGACCGGGGGGGGGGGGGGGGGGGCAGTTTTCCAGTCACAGATACTCAAATTTAGTTGTCAAACCGTTCTAATCTAACCTAACCTAGCCAACCAAACTTGCTGTAACATTTCGAAATTCTGTTTTATATTCACCACATGACTTTTCTATTATCCAATGGAATTACTCAAATTAAAATTAAATAGCATGATTTGTCTAGGGGGGGTAGTATTCCAGTCGCGTACACGGCTTCCATATTGGTTAGTTGGCAGATTTTGTGACGTCACGTTTCACCTGGGGGGTAGTTTTCCGGGGGATAGTATTCCGCATCCCCATTTACATATTTTCCCTAATCTCTTTGGTTATTGAGAAAAATTGAAATTAATATATTTTGAAACATTTGATATAAGTTATATACTGTAGGCCTATATATAGAGAGAGCTATATGTGTCCCTGTGAACAAGATAACTCGAGTAATGTTCGTCCGATTTTGATGAAATATGGCCTGAAGGTCTCCGGCGGGATAACCTTGAATGAGATAACCAGCAGGATCGGGCCATGGTAACGGGGTTTTATGGGGTTAAAATTGTTTTTAGTAAGCTTATTGGTTTTGGAGAAAATTTAAAAATGTAAATTTAAAATCCCTATGTTATTCTTATAGAAAATATTGTAAACTGTTGCAGTTTGCTTGTTTATGGATGTATTTTGATCAAACCATTTACCATTTTACCACCATTACCATCGAAGTCTTCGCCGCAGTCCTTGGAGACCGGGGAATTGTCAATTCTTTTTCATCCTTCTTGCTAGCTTCTTGATTGTGTGTAGTGTTGTAGTGTGGGTGAATGTGTGATTTGTATTATGAGTGTTATTTTGTAGGAAATTTATGTTCTTCTAGATATTCTGTAATTGTGTAATAAGGTCGCTTTAAGAGGTATTGTTTCAGCTGTTTTTTGAAGTTAGAGAGCAAGTTTATGTCTTTAAGTTTGTTGGGTAAGATGTTGTATAGTTTTATTCCCATGTAATTTGGTGTTTTGCTGGTTTTCGTTAGTCTGTGTTGGTTTAGATTAAAGTTTGATTTTACTCTGAGGTTGTGATCGTGACAGTTTATTCTGAGTTGAGGTGGGTTTGATTTGATAAAGAGGATGGTTTCGTAAAGATATAAGGATGTTAAGGTGAGGATCTGGTTTTTGACAAAGAGAGGTTTACAGTGTTCTTCCCGATCAACTTGTTCCAGGATTCTGATGGCTTTTTTCTGTTGTACTAGTATTTTTTTCAGGTCGGTTTCATTGGCAGAGCCCCATGCAATTATGCCATATCTAATGTGTGAGGAGAAGAGAGCGTGGTATGCCGTTTTGCAGATCTCTTTGTTTGTGATTTTCCTGATTCTCCTTAGAGCATATACAACTTGGGATAGTTTACTGTCCAGATTTTCAATATGGTCATGCCATGTTAATCGGTTGTCCAGTGTGATTCCGAGAAATTTAGCGTTTCGTTTATCATTTCCTTCCTGTATCTGGCTGTTAGAAGTGAAGTTTAAAACTGTCGTTTTTTGTTGATTTATTTTTAGGTCTAATGAGTTGCAGGTGGCTATTGAAGTTTGAAGTGTTTCTTCTATTTTTTCCTTTTGGGTGTTGGAATTTGTTGGTGTAATTATGGTAGTGTCATCCGCAAATATTATGCAGGAGCTATCACTAGATAGGTCATTCGGAAAAGAATTTATATATATTAGGAAGAGGATCGGGCCAAGTATAGATCCTTGCGGGATTCCTTGATAGGTTTCTCGAAGTTTAGATCTGTATTTGATTTCATAATTTTGTTTAGTGTATTCTAGTTCTACAAGTTGTTGTCGGTCTGTCATGTAATTTTGGAGCCAGATTAAAGCATTATGGGTGATATTTAGTTCTTGAAGTTTCTCAACTAGTATTTCTCTATTCAAGCTATCAAAGGCTTTTTCTATGTCTAGAAAAATGCTTGTTGCTTGGAGTTTTTTTCCCAGATTGATGTTATGTCCTCGCATAGATTTGCAAGGGCTGTATTTGTTGATCTGCCATGTCTAAAGCCGTGCTGTGATTGGGTAAACTTTCCTTTGTCCTCCAGGTATGTGATGAGCTGATTATGTATTGCCTTTTCTATATATTTAGAGAGCGTGGGTAGGATAGATATTGGCCGGTAATTTGAGATGCAGGTTTTCTCACCCTTCTTAAATTTGGGATAAACTAAGGCAATTTTTGCCTTTTTATAGCCTTTTTATAGCAAGCTATCATTATTCTACTAAAAACACACTTTATTACCATCCCTGTAGCAGCAAACCTAGGTAATCGTTAAACCTAATGTAATTTAAATGGAAATTAGGTAAAGTCAAATGAGGCAAAATGGAATTCGCTTAGGCTGCAGGTTTACTGCGACGGGGGTATTTTACAGTAGCTACGTATATTTATAATGTATGCATTTCATATAGGTATAAACCTTGCTGTTAAGTGAGTTTTCTTGTAGCAGGGCCGCTACAATGGAATATTTATTTGAAAAAAATTAAACTGACAGAACTTAAACAAAATTAATGTTTTTAAAATATTAATTTCAATTTTTCTCAATAACCGTTAAAGATAGGGCAAATATGTAAAAATAAAAAAGTAAAAGTAAAAGTAAAATATTTAGGGTATTTTTGTGTGTTCAATAACTGTACTGTTATTTGATCAAAAAATCTGTATTCTCAACGGTTAGTGAAATATGAGCAAATAATTTCAGATCGGAGGCTGCCATTTTCTAAGATGGCGGCTGTAGCACAGCATGCACGAATGTTGATTTGTGATATGTTGTTACTGGGTACTACACATGTGCAAAGTTTCACCACTTAGGGAATTATTTCTAGGTAGAGGGGTATTTTTCCCTAAAATGACAGGACTATTAGTTAGTTGTCATACAGAAATCTTGTATTCTTCCCGTAAAAATGGTGAATACGGTACATTTACTAGGCTACTAAATAAAATCGATGTTACTGTTAATAGGCTTATGAAGTTTAGTATCAGACTCGGTAGTGAGGCTGAGGAGTGAGGACACTTTGCTATTTTGAGTAATATTACATATGGAACTATGAGTCCCCCAATAAAGTATGAAATAATATTGTCAATGGAATCTCCCAGTTCTTAGCCTAATCCAAAACAAGCTAGTCTATGTTTATTTTGGTAATTCCTTGTTTCAAATATGTAATATTTTGCCACTGACCTCAGCGAGATAAACTATTGTCTGCAACATCTTGTTACATTGTCTTGGAAAAAATAGTTATACTTTAAACCTCTGATCCCTTCAACAAAGGCTACAGGAATGTCTGGCGCACGTTTGTGCTGCTTGTTCTGTGGACATGACAATTAGTAGGTCCTAGTGATGTCACAACAACAGTTGGCAAAACTTTTTGTAGCTAATTTCCCCATAGGGAAGTAGTTATTACCGTAGGTGGCACGGTAAGACCTAGGCACGGGACCGATTTACTTATTCATATTGATCTCCCCAGAGGCCAAAAACACCATTTGTTCAAACTTTAATGTATATGTTAATATATATATATATATATATATATATATATATATATAGAGAGAGAGAGAGAGAGAGAGAGAGAGAGAGAGTTATATATATATATATAGAGAGAGAGAGAGAGAGAGAGAGTTATATATGTGTCCGTGAACACAATAACTTGAGTAATTTTTGTCTGATTTTGGTTTAAAGGTGTAAGGTGGAATAATCTTGAATGAGTTCACGAACCAGCATGATCGGACCATGGGAACGGGGTTTTACGGAGGGTTTTATGGAGTAAAAATTGGTTTTCCTCATTTTTGACCCTCAAAATACAAAATGTCCCAATTGCTATCAAGACCTTTTTAAAGGGATAAAAAAACCAAATAAGTTAATAAGTTATATCAAAGGGTTTTTTACAGTTATTGGTAGGCTAATGGAGAAAATCCAAAATATTGTAAATTCAAAACTCCCATGTTATTCTTATGGAGAATATTGTATAATGTTTTAGATTTTACATGGAATTTTACATGTTTTAGATTTTGTTTATGGATATATATTTTATATTTAACAAAAAAACACACTTTATTAATTTCCTTGTAGCAGCAAACCTAGGTACTCGTTTAACTTAATGTTATTTAAATTTAATTGAAAATCAATACATTCAGACAAATTGAAATTCGCTTAGTCGGCAGATTTGCTGCGGCGGGGGTATTTATTTTTTTGTTTTCATATAGGCTCATAGTGCCCTTGCCAAATTACAAACTAATAAACTTTGATTTGGATTTTAATTAGGTAGCCTACCAGTTGTTTGTCGTTTAAATTAAAATAAATACAAGCAACAGAATATCCTCAGAAAACAAATGTAAAATTGTTGTACAAAGCTTATTGTTGGAGTACAAATTGAGCAATTAATCTTGCCACAAGCCTAAACTGAGGTAGAGCAAATGACATCATCATTAGTTTAAGTGTTGTGAATTAATTGAGTGCCTTTTAATCTCATAGACTATGATCAAATTTATGTGTTGTTGCCGTTCACAATAACTTAGACATCTTGACACCAGTTTCAAATGGTTACTGTTACTGTCGGACGTAAATCATTATTTGTAAACCATTAGGAAGCACAAAAAATGCACTAGGCCTAATCATGGAGTTGTTTTTATAGTTTGTGTGTATTATGATCTAAAAGAATTCAGCCTATTTCCATTATAAACCATACAGTTTATATTAGCTTAGTTTGTTGGAAATAAAGACTGACTACTTTAGCTAGTTATGTGGTCAGTGAAATAGTATCCTATTGTATGTGCAATTAAACATAGAAACCACCAATATAACAAGCATTGTTATATTGAAGTTGAAGCCAACTTCACAGTCATGTGTTTTAAATTGAGTAAGTTTTATGACCAACTCGTTATGTTTTTAGGTTGGAATGGAGGTTTCTGCAGTCTGAGGATGAACAGCTGACAAACCTGCGCAAACGCGCGTTAGAAGGCGGGTTGAGAGCTTTTCGGTAAGAAAATAAAATACATCAACAAGTATATCTTTAAAAAGAGAAAACTATTGCCCTAATTAGTAATTTTGCCAAGTAGTAAAGTAGGCTAGTCATTTTTAGTGTAGCAGTGTGTCCAACCAACCAACAGGGGATTTCTAGACGTGAATTTTGATGGCCAGGATAAAGTCTGTGAGTTGTACTTGAATTTTACCACAGAAAACGTACTACTATACCCAGAATGCCAACCGCATGGTAAAAAGCATTAAGCGGTTTGAGAGAGCTTTGCCTGTCAATCCGTAGGCAGCGCCACCAGCGTTGCCATGCAATAGCATAGCAACGCTGGTGGCGCTGCCTACGGATTGACAGGCAAAGCTCTCTCAAACCGCTTAATGCTTTTTACCATGCGGTTGGCATTCTGGGTTATAGTAGTACGTTTTCTGTGATTTTACATGGGCTAGTGAAATCTGGGATAGTAGCCTACATGGCTGATCGTTTCCGCATGCTCTCTGTAATCAAACGGGGTTAGTAAATGTTGCATTATCCCAAGAAATGCTCGCAGGTATTGCTGCAGTTGCTGAAGATTGGTGTGATTCTGGTATTTAAACGTTTATAACAGTCAATTATTAAAATCATGTTTTTTAGAAAATATTGAAGTGAAAATCCCATCAGGAAAATGGAATTTCGCTTGAGTGTTTACTGCAGAGGGTTCCTGAGGGCATTTTGCTTTGAGGATTAGTAGACATATGCTATTAGCGAGGTTCTAAAATAGTGCAACTAAGCATTTATCACCAGGGAGATACCTCAGTGGTGTTTAACTGATTTCAAAGCAAAGCAAATGTTAATGTTAGCAAAATTTAAGTAGCCACTAAACATTTATAATTTTGGGGTTTTAGAGGTTTGTATTATTTTTAAAGAAGTCTTATTGTGGACAAGGAAAAGATGCCACATACTAGAAGTCCATCAGATATCCTGAGTGGTAGTTTCTCTTGTATCGTGTTTTTTCCCTGTCTCTTTAGTCTTTGGGTCATGGCAGCCCATGCTGGTATTCAATTCTTAGACAAATGTGTAGTTATTCAATGCTTGGTCATTGTGCCATAAGTTTCAATGGCTGGTAGGAGGGTGGGTTTTAGTAAATCATTTTTTTCTCTAGAGTTTTACAGAAAGTACTTCTTTTTTCTTTACTTTGATTATCCTATACTCTAATACGAGAAATGTTTGCTTGTATGCTTGCTTGCTTGCTTGCTTGCTTGCAGAAATATCTCGAAAACGGCTCCAACGATTTTCTTCAAATGTTGTAAATAGCTTATTTCTGGTCTAAAAACGAGTTTACTGCAGTTAGAACTGCCAACAAAAATCTAATTACGTAGAAAAATGAAACTGAAAATTACATTTTTTTTAACATTAGTTTTATGGGTTGCTAGGTAACCATGTTGGTTGAATTGAATAACAAGGAAAAAGTAAACAAAAGACTTGTAAGTAGTCTATTAGTGCAGTAGAAATAATCGAAAATATAGCTTAAGGTGGAACTAATTGCAACAGAAATGATTCTTGCTGTGAATGGTAGGTAGTATGCTTCTAATCAACATACTAAAAATATACATCCGTACTGTGGCGCAAAATACGTTTTTTGGCCGCCATCTTGAAAAAAGTGTCAAAATTTTAATATTCGTAAAAATAACTTTTTGGGTATTAAACTATAGGAAATTTAATGCAGAAAAATTTTATAATAGTGGTTATAAGCACTATTTAGAAATACGATCGTAGTACAAAATACCCCCGCCGCAGCAAACCTGCAGACTAAACGAATTTCCATTTGTCTTAATTGATTTTTAATTAAATCTAGTAATTCAGTTTTAAAAATCTTTGTACAACTTAATCTAGAGTTCTACTGGACCGATTTTATAACCTAATGGGTCATTGGAAAGGAATACGTGTAGATTTTCAAATAATTATTAAAGTTTGATTTTTTAAGATTTGCTAGGTGAAACCCGTCAACGTCGACAATTAGCTTAGGTACTGTTGAGTTTGCAAGTACGATCTTTTTAACTAAAAATCGATGATAGATAACTCCATTTTTAAACAATTGGGGTCGTTTATAATTTAGCAGTGTACTTTAGGTAAGTCCAATCTCAATAATCAATAATTCCAATGGAATCTGGTATTTCACTGAAGATTTTTAGATAAAAACATATAGGATAATGCAACTGCTGGAATACATTTTTAATTGAAGTAAAAATTAAAAAAAAACTTATTCAATTGTTTTTGTAGGGTTAAACATTTGATAGATTAATGATAACAAATATGTGCTTGCATAGCTTTGAGACAAAAAATTTTGAAAATCGGTCCGGTAGAAGAGCCAAACGAACTCGAAAAAAACAAATTTAACTCCAGTAAGTAATGTACAGGGAGGCAGTTTGTGCGGGTCGCCGGATTTCTACCCCCGGATATTTACCCCCATGAAAAAACGCCTACGTCATTTTGACGTCACGAGGGGCGGGGCTTATACACGGTCGAGAAACAGCCCGCGACTGGAAATCTACCCCGGACATCTACCCCCAGACATCTACCCCCGGACATCTACCCCCGGACATCTACCCCCGGAAATCTACCCCCAGTGGTCAGCTCTGCCGCGTATCAGCCAATATTCATTGTTGTAATTGATTTTATCAATTGCTTTATACAATGGTACTTTCATCAATGGCTCTTCGGTTAATCATTACCCTCTAATATCTAGTATTAAGCATGTGATATCGTAATATGTCATTGCTTTGTTTAACAATCTTTATCTTCCTAATAAAATAAGCTGTAACAAGCCCTTTTTCACCCGAACTACTTCACTGATATTTATGATTGAAGTGTAATTTTAAATCTTAAGATCCAGCTCAACGCAAAACGGCATTTAAAACTATATGTTAATAAAGGGCTTCTAAAGTGTGACCCTTAAGCATTTGATTCATTTGCAGACAGTGATTTAAATGGTTGACCAACTTTCACATACAGTAACAGCTAACGGCACATGCATGAGCGCGGATCGGAAGTATTTATCACAAAAGATTGACCAATACGATTTTAATACTATTTTAAGGTTCTTCCAAAAGAAGAGAAACCAGTTAATAATAATAACTCTTATGACGTACGGTATGGGAAATATTTTGTTCATTGAATTATCAACCATATTTTATAACTAACGCAATAGTCATTATTGCTTTAACACTTATTAATCATCAAAATAGCTAAAGAGCTAAAGGCTCAAAATTGTTATTACTTCAATCTATTTATCGCAGTTATATGAATTAGCATAAGCCTTGAAAGTAACCGTCAATGTCGACGGGTTTCACCTAATTCTGTTCTGTATACTACCTTAAAATACCTCATTTTAACATTTTACTGGCAGGAAACCTGCTTATTCACTTCCTATATGGTATTTTTAAGAATGGATCTTTTGAACACTTATTTATGGACATAAGTTGACAAGTTTTGTTTTAAGGCAGGATTTTCCAATAAGACATTATACATTCTTTGAATATGCGAATGTGCTGCAATGGGGGGGGGGGGTATTTAGGCGTACCGTTGATATATATTAAAAGATATTAGGCTATGCTTAAAAAATTGAATGTGGCCATTATTTTGAATTTTAATAATTGTCTTATTTTAGGTCTTTAAGAGAAAATAATTTAAAATCCTCTCTTAGTTCGCATTTAAAATCTTCGAAACTATTTTTTTTTTTACTACTAGGTGATATGAAAAATTTACTATTATACACCTGACTTTTATTGATCCTCTTTCTCAATTTAAGAGTTTACAACTTAGTTTTGGTTTACTAAACAATTATTACTACTAGGCCTACATCGAATAAACCGGAAGTTCGCCACAGTTTATTCACATTTTTATTTAAGAAATGTGTGTAAAAACAATGGTTCAGTACGATGTAACACTTGACCATGTGAAAAGTGCGCAATATTATATTATTTTCATAACTTTTTCATCTACTGTTTACAGCTTCAGACGATCTATTCATGTTTTCACAACCTGACTTTAAAAATTAATCTGTTTAGTACTACTCACATTTCACTTTTAAACAGTTACTGTATAGTGTAAAAGTTGGTCAACCATTGGAAGCACCTTCTAGTAATAAATCAAAGGCTTAGAAGTCAACCTTTGAAGCCCTAATCAAAATATCCTTTTAATTACCAGCTTGTGCTGAGCTAGATCTTAAGCTTATAAAAGACACATCAATTGTAAAAATCAGTGAAACAGGTCGGGTTGAAAAGGACTGTTACAACTTATTGAATTATAAATATAGATAATGTTAAAACAGACATCGACATATCACATGTTTACTACTGGGTATAAGAAGGTAAAGCAATTTATAAAATCAATTACAACAATGAATATTGGCCGATACGCGGAAGAGCTGACCACTGGGGTAGATTTCCGGGGGTAGATGTCCGGGGGTAGATGTCTGGGGGTAGATGTCTGGGGGTAGATTTCCAGTCGCGGGCTGTTTCTCGAACGTGTATAGGCCCCGCCCCTCGTGACGTCAAAATGACGTAGGCGTTTTTTCATGGGGGTAAATATCCGGGGGTAGAAATCCGCTACCCCGTTTGTGCATAGCTCAAAATATACGTCAAAATGAGTGCTGATGCTTAATAGCAAATCTATGGTGCGTCTATAGCTTTAGTTTAAAGCCGAATTTACACTATGTAGCAAAACCCGTTATATAACTTTTGCTTTATAACATTGCTTTATAGCTTTTGCTGTATGCAAAATTTACAAACAATTTTAGTGATTCTGGTGCTCGTGCTATATGTTATATGTAGCACAACCTCATTCGCATTCCGTATCGAAATGTGCGCTGAAGAGACATTGTTCGTGGCAGCTATCGTGGTGATCTTGGAAGTCAGAGAGACAGACAGGAGCGAAGATTTTAGCAAGTTTTAGATTTGACCGCTTCTTGCTTCGAGAAATAAGTACAGTGTAGCAGATTTATTACGGGACCTTAATGATGATGAATACTC